AATGGCATAGTTTCAATTCTGGCTTTACAAGATTGCTTTGATAATTAACTGGAAAATGTACAGAGCGCCTAGCACAGTGGCTACACATAGTTGAGTATGAACTCAGCCCCTCTGGTCTGAAGGAAGTAGGTTGGGGTGGAGAAATACTGAAAGGGTGAGATCTTGAGAAGGGAAGGAGAGGGCTGGGATAGGGGAGTAGACAGCAAATAGCAGTACAAGGGGAGGGCTAAGAGGCCAGTCTTAGCCTTGGCAGAGGTAAATTACAAGATTAAGATTTCAAAACTCCTACCTGTCCCTAAGGTGTTCAGGATCTCATGAAGAAAGCGAGACCTGGGAGAGATGAGGTGTACAGGACTAAGCCAAGAGAAAAGGCCATCGCCACGTGACTGGTAATTACTTGGAAGTTGTGACAGGGAAGGGAGGTGAAGGCAGGGCCACCCCAGGGGAGGGTGGGATGCAGAGAGGTGGAAGCAGCAGGGGCCCCGAGGGGCCCAAAAAGCAAGTGTGAGGGGAAGATGAGTGCCAAGAAGGACCAGTGTTAGGAAGAGTGGGAAGAGAGATTCTGGAGGAGAAGGAGACACGGGTCACCGGAGAGAAGTGAAGACTGAGAAGTTCTAAGTGGGTTTAGGCAGTTTGAGGACCTAGGAGGAGAGAAAATGGTTAGGGAAGCTGTGTGCCAAGAGCCTGGGGGTTAGGGGGAAGGTGGCGGGAGATGGGGAAAGAGGCAGGGCCCTTGCCATACTGCTGCTTATGTCCAGCGGCCCCTTCCTTAGGGGACCTCTGGACCTGGCTTTGTCATGAATTTACACATAGCTCTGTGAAATGGCTGAAAAATGGTACAGGGCAGGGTGAGGGAATCCTGCCTCTTGTGGCTCTGGCTGCTGACGTGGTGGCCGCTGGCTGAGGCAGGGACTGCCTGAGTCTCCTCTGCCCGGGATCCGGGCAGTGGGTCACTCCTGAGACCATGAGGAGCTTTCCTTGTGGCGAGGCGGCCATCTGTGCAGCCCGCGGTGGAAAACGCACACGACGTGCACGCTGCCCTCCGGTGCTGGGGGGCCTGTGGACAGGAGCTCGGGCGGTCCTTCCTCGTGGTCACTCAGCAGACACTGTGGAGGTGCAGGCACCAGAGGACTTAAGGGGAGACTTGAGGGGCCTGCAGTCTTTTGGGGACACAGACCCTAACAGGGCTGTGAAAGTCATTTATTTCTGTAGTCTCACATTGCCCACCTGCCCCTCTTAGAGCTAGCGCTTTGGGGTCCTGTGCCAGAAGGGAACTCAGGCCACCTCGGCGCAGGCAGTGCGATGGCACCCCCTCCACACGGCCGGGGTGGCATTCTCCGGGACTTGTCAGTCACGGGCACTGCTAGGGTCGTGAAAACACAGCTGTTTCGAAGAGGAATAAGACAAACTAGACAAACGAGCTAACATATTTTGTGCGTGTCAAAGAGGCCTTCCCCCCTCCCCTCTGACGTGAGACTTAGCCTCCCCGTGTGGAAGTTTCCTCTTCTGTAAAATGGGGATAACAACTACTTCACAGGCTGTAGTGAGGATTAAATGAACTAATACAGGTAAATCAGCACAGTGCCTGGCACAGAGTAAACAGTTGATAAATGTTAGCTATAATTATAATAATTATTATTATATATTATAAAAACACGTTTAGAGCAGAAGGCAGTGAGCCGTGTGGTGAGAGTGCCTGAAAATGGTAGAGGGCAGTGGTTCTGCAACTGTGGTCTTGGGACCAGCAGCATCAGCATCTCCTGGGAACTTGATAGAAATGCAGTTTCTCAGGCCCCACCTCAGGCCTGCAGAGTCAGAAGCCCAGCAGCCTGTGACTCAGCAGGCCCATCCGGGGTCTGACGCTGGTGGAGTAAACGCATCATAAGATACATGGAACTAAGATCTTGATGCAGGATTTAAGAAAGCCATTTACTCAGCACAGAGGAGGCAAAGGCCACTACTACTGTACAACTGACGGAGCCCCAGACAGAAGCGTATCACACAGTGTCTCTTATTAATGGTGCTGCATGAGGGGCTTCTCACGACTTCTACTGAGTAGCTTTGACTCGACGGCACCTGGTAGTAAAGGAACCATCAACTAACTGGCAAGGAGAATAGCATTGCCAAGGAGCCCTGGTGGCACAATGGTTAAGCACTGGGCTGCTAACCAAAAGGTTGGCAGTTGGAATCTACCCAGTGGCCCCACAGGAGAAAGACCTGGTGATCTGCTTCTGTAAAGATCACAGCCTAGGAAACCCTACAGGGCGGTTCCATTCTGTCACATGGGGTCACCATGAGTCAGAAATGGACTTGACAGCACCTAACAACAACAGCATTGCCACAAAGACACTTATAGAGCCTGTTTATTGCATAACTAGCAGGCACAAATTCCAAAACAATTTTACAACACTTAAAGGGTTGTACAATACTTACAGGAATAGAATGTACAATAAAAATGAAAAATAAGTACAGAATCAGTGACATGGATAAAAACACGTTTGAGTAAAAGGCATTTCATTTTTCCTATGCAGCATATTCTTTTGTAAAAAGAAGGGTTACCTTCAACCAGGACAAGGAGAGAAATAAAATCCTATTATTGGAAAGCTCACGGATGCTGTTGAGGACAAAAACATGCTAGTTCCAGTCTTGGTTCTGAAATGTTAATCATTTAGGTTGTGTAACAGCTCCTGAGTTGTGCGCTTATAGTTCCAATTTTATAAAATGCTGTATTTGATCTTTGGGCCCAATTCATTGTTCTTTGGCAAATAAGAACTATTTGCATTTCCACGGCAGGAGATGATACCAGTTAAAGAACCTTCGGGGTAGAGCTGTTACCTTCTGCTCAGCAAGAGCCAGTTTCATAAAGTGCACCTCTGTCCCATCAGCTTCCGGGGGTGGGGGTACTTGAGAATTATAGGGTAAAAACGACTCACGGGATGAAGATATTAGTGCAAGGCTGTAGGATCCATGTGCAAAAGGTGGCCTTCTAGAACAAGCAGACAGACCAGGTGCCATCTGCTCGCAGGACTGCAGAGCCTCTGGCACACAACCTCAGGTCAGGCTAAGGAAGTGTGAGAGCACGGGCCGCCACTCCACCAGGGAACTTCTTTCCCAAGGTGGCCCTGCGAGTTACCAGAGCAAACTCCTGTGGTATTCTCACAACTAGACATGGGTTTTTGGTCCCCATGTTCCTTGGCTTTCTCTAGGGCTAAAATCAACATCCTGTATCATAGGTTCAAGTGAAGACACTACTTCACCTCCTTCAGACAATGCGTGTCAAACCTCCGCGGACACCCATCCTCCCCAGCAATCCTCAGGACTGCCGCTGGGCCTTTCCTGAGGACCTGGGCAGCGCAACAGGAGGGGCCGGTGTTTTACAAGAAAGAGGGACAGCTAAGGGCACGAAGCATGCAGATAGTGGTATCAGACGGTGCTTGAAACTCAGAAGACGCCTTCTAGAAGGCAGTTAGGACTGCAGTTTCACCTCAGCACCTGACGATCATGTGGCACTTAGGGCTGTACAGACAAACAAGTGGGATGAGTCTTTCGGAGACATGAACCCTTCTCCCCAGGCTACTCAACAGTGGAGCAAAACCCGACAGAAGCGCCCACACACTGCGACTTAGTAAACCAAACACCGCTGTGGTGCTATTTTCATGACAGCATACGGTCAAGCTATTAAGTTATTCATGAATCAAACGGTTCTGTGAAAATAGAGACGATTTGTACGTTGATTATCCCGACTTCTTGATGTGGGTACATGGCCACTGTGGGGCAGAATGCCTGGTTAAAAGGAGGACTAGCAGCAGCTGGACAGTGCAGGGTGCCTACATTACAGGTAAGGCTCAGAGGCTAAACTGGCCGTGACCAGGGAAGGCACTCCCCCTGCAGAGGTCACAGGGCCCCGTGGCAGAAGCTGTGAGCTGGCAGCCTAGAGGCCATGGCTCCCCACATGTGTTCTGTTAAAATGTTTGAAATCAGTTGTCAACTTTTAAAGATGGAGAGATGGCAAGAAGAAGTCCAGATTTCAGGTGTCTCTTGAAAAATCAAAGCTCTGGCAACTCCAGGCCCACATTCCTGCAGGGGTCCCCCGCTGTCTCTGCTCCAATCACCTGCACTGCTGCCTGGCCCCTCTGGTGTAGGTCAAGGTCTGAACCACACCCACACAAAACTGCTGCACTGAGCACGGGTAGGAATAGGTTTTAATATTCAGAACAAGAAAGGTCTTTTTAGTAATCAAAAAAAAATTTCAGCATGTTCCAGAACTTAAACCTGTATTCTTTCATAGCTTTGGAATAGCTGGTAGTCAGCCAGGGCACACTCCCTAAGGAATTTTTAAAAGCTGATGTCTAATTTTTAAGTACCAGTGAGGCAATGGAGAAGAAACGAACTCAGATGATTATATAAATCTTACCTTATAAGAAGTCCTTAAAGGTGACAAAAAACATGAAGCAGGTCACGTTGAGAAAGCACTAGAAGTTAAAGGAGTAACTGAATTTTGGATGCGAGGCAACACAGGGACAGGGGGTGCATGATTCCTTCTCCCACAGTTCATGGCAGTGATAACTGGGTGGGTGGCAAAGAATTCGTTATGGCTTGTTTGGCCCATGTTCCCCTTCGCTGACAGTGGGAAGGCAGAGCTCTTGACCCAGAGTGATATCATGGTGGCCCTCCTGTCCTGAACATGGCCAAATGGACACAATGGGGGAGGGGATGTATGCTTTAACTGACTCCATGGAGACTTCAGGATGACAGCAAAATAGAAAGAGACAGAAGCTCAAGTAAAAAAATTAAATAAAACCACATTTAACGGGATAGAGTAGCTAAAACAAATAGAGCAATTAATTGTTTCCTTCCAAGAGAGACTGTTACATTCCTTTTAGAAAGTGACAAAGCCCTTCTCTATATATGTGCTTGGAGATACCCCAAACTTCAGAGATTTTGCAGTAGGCTGGAAATTCACTTATTGCACAATGCTTGGTAGGGAACAGATAATGTTGACCTTTTTTTTTTTTTAACTCAATTCTTTGAAGAAAATATTTTACTAAAAACCTCATTTATAGTTTTAACCCTAGGCAGGGAGTTCTGAGGGATGAAAAAGTCCTAACAGAGTTTAAACGATGAAGCTGTGCTTTCGGATGCAGACGATCATTAACTCGACAGTCACTGACGACACAACAGAAAATCAGAAATGGAACTGGCACACAGGCACAAAATAAGGCAAGTGGGTTAAATTGATAGCTGAAAATTTGTTAGAAAACATGCAAAAATAATACCGAGCTTTCTTTTAAAAAGTTTTAAACGGTCATTAAATGTTTTTTTTGTAAAAATCAGAAAAGGTCCGTGTCTAAATTTGAAATCGGACTTTAAAAAGCCTAGAAGATAGAAGGGACAATGCTCCGCTCTTCAGTTGTTGTTCTCTTTGGTGGTGATGGTGACCAGCTGCTTGGCGGCCTTGGCAATGTCGTACGCGCACTGGATGACCTGCTGAGTGACTAGCTGAATGTCCGTGGGGGAGCCAGGGTCCCCAGGGAGGGTCTTCCTGCACTCGGACTGCAGGCGGTAGGCACTGGATGTCAGTAAACGGAGGGAAGTCCTCACCATGTCGGACTTGGGTTTCTAAAGAGAGAAACACAGCCATTGGCCATGAACTGGAGGGCAGACACCCAAAAGCAAGGGACAAACGTTCTTCTGCAAACAACTCAGTGTGCTCCATACAGTGAGAGGCGGTTTTGCCATGCACTTTTTCAACTGGAAGCCTTGCAGTCCGCCGGGTAAGAGATGCTGAAGCGTTCTGACTCAAAAGATCACGTAGCATGCAGTGTAATTTTAGTACTATGTGCTATTTTGAGTGCTATTAATGTTTTGAAAATTATTAATTCACTTGGGTAAATTATTCCAGATAAAATTTTATTAATGTTTTGTCTTTACCACTTGACTTATACATACTCATCTTACTAAAACCAATATTCTCGTAGAACAAAAAAATATATGGCTGTTATTTAAAGCTCTATGTGTAAAAAATGTTACTGTAAAGGTCATAAGGAAATTTCTTGCAGCTCATTTCAAAGGATCGGAACCAAGTAAGTAGGAAGTGACTTACTTTGGGGAACAATGCTGCCATTTCTGTAACAGCTACATGTATCCTCTCTGAGCAGGGAATATAACTGCAAGAATATTGAAGAAGTTATTCAAATGACAGTAAAAATAATTCAGAGACTGAGAGTATTTAGAGGCACAAGCAGCTTCAGTTTCCATCCCCTTAATGAAAGGCCTGAGGCCGTGACAGCCACTGTGCGTACACTCGACCAGAAGGCCCCTGGTGATAAAGCAGTCCCCCATCCTCTCCCCCAAGTTCAGTGGCTCAGATAAAAGCCATCTGCAGGCATGAGACGCAGGCAGCATACACTATGGGCTGGGTACAGCTACATGGCAACTTAAGCGCCTCCTCGAGTTGGTCATTTATTTCTCATGTGTTTGCTCTCTTTCCTCATTTCTTGAAAGCGAAACAGAGATTTCCATGCAACAGGCCACAGAAGTTAAAAAATCACCCAAACCCCAACCACACCCACTGCCATCGAATTGATTCCGACTCATAGTGACCCTGTAGGACAGAGTATAACTGCCCCACGGGGTTTCCAAGGCTGTAAATCTTTATGGAAGCAGACTGCCACATCTTTCTCCTGTGGAGCTGCTGGTCGGTTCGAACCACCGACCCTTCAGTTAGCAGCCGAGTGTTTAACCACTCTGCTACCAGGGCTTCTTTTAAAAAAATAAAGGGCTGAAAAAAATCTCAGCATTATAATCAGGGCCTCCACTTTAACACCCACGTGCCGTTTAACCAATGGGCACTTCTAAACTCCTTCCGTTTCGAAAGCATCTGAATTGGTGGAAAACCAAAATGTTTGTGTGAGGAGAAAACACTGAAGTCTGCTTCATATACTTGTTCAGACTTTTCTCTACTTTTCCATAAAGTTGCCACTTATTTGCTTGTAATAAAATGGTGGAGTTCCTGGGTGGTGCAAACGGTTAATGTTCTTAGCTGTTAACCGAAAAGCTGGAGGTCTGAATCCACCCAGAGGCTACTCGGAAGAAAGGCCTGGAGACCTACTTCTGAAAAATCAGTCACTGAAAACTGTATGGAGCACATTTCTCCTCTGACACACATGGGGTCGCCATGAGTCAGAACAGACTCGACAGCAACGGGTCGAGCACAAGCAGCACTTCCCTGCTCACTGACATGCTCTCAGAAAACCAAGTGCCTGATGTCTGCCTGTCAGACCCTTCCTTCCAGGCCACCTCTTCACCTGGCCTCGCAGGTGACAGCACAGAGTAAGCACTTAAGGAGTGCTGACGGGGTGCAGGCTCTGACTCCACAGAGAACTCACTAGATCCTCCCAGCAGCCCTATGAGGCTGGTACTGTTAGCATGCTTGTTTTCCCGATGGGGAAACAAAGACCAGGAGAGGCGACCAACTTGTCCACAGTCCCACAGCTGCTAAAAGGCGGGCTGAGATCAAGCCCTGCCACCCGGGGCTGGAGTCTGAGCTCCTCCCTGCTACCCAACAGGCCTCTCCTGAGAGATTCATATTTTTTGTTATAGCAAGCCTCTTTCCACTGGTGGTTGGTGATTCTGACTTCTTAGGTGAGGAGAAATGGAAGAATCCAGGAGTACTGTGACAACATCAAATGGCGGTGGTTTCCCGCACCTGAAAAGCTGGGTTTCCACCCTGAGTAGTACGCATGACAAAGTGCAGAGAGGCAAAAGCAGATTGGTGATGGCCACCACAATGCCACCAAGCTTGGACTTGTTTCCAGGAAGACTGACCCACAGCCTAGGAAGCCCTATATCCAAAAAAAACCCCAACCCTGTTGCGTCCAGTCAGATGAGGAAGCCCTGTGGAGCCTGTTGTTAGCAGATTAGGAAATACTGCTGTGAGAGCCCTAAGTCTGGCCTTACACAAGATCCCCTGTGACCATATTTTTAAGTCTTTTCTTCTAAGATACAGAACCCAATGCTGTTAGCACCTATCCTAGCCCTTAAAGCCATCAAGTAACATTTTCCGCCCGTTTTTTAAACCATGAAGTTGGTTTCTGCTTAAATATTGTCATAAGCAACCTCTGTTCTTCATCTTTGTAAGAAATTTAGTACCAAAACTATTTAAATTAAGATGGACTACATTTTAATTAAGCCGTTACACTTCAGTAGAATGGCTTTTATTATCCAAAAGTACCTTCAAATGGGAAGCTCTGACTTACCTTTTCCTTGTGGTGCTGTGCTCCCTCTGAGAGCGATTAGAACCACAGGCTGTGTACTCATAAAAACGCTTACGCGTAAGGAGGTATTTCACTTGCAAATACGCAGGGGCAACAACCTACCCGGTGGCACAGTGGCCACAGCGATCACTGTGTCCCGCACAGACATCTCCTGAAACAGCGTGCACATTTCATATCTCACTCACTGAGAACCACACCTGAGAGGCTCCTGTCTTACTGCTTACAGTTTTCGTTTTTCTGCGGAAATAGAACCCATCCTTTCCCCACCCTCCATAGAGAAGAAATTTATCCTAAGGATGTCTCTGACACATTTATTCAATACAAACTATCTGGCAAGTCCTCGACAAGCCACAAAAGAGAGCACAGGCACGTCAATGAGAAAGCCCTCCTCTGCTCTCACAGAAGTTCTTTCTTCTTTTTTTGGGGGGCGGGGGGAGAGTTCATTTTCCCAACTTCAAATTGATACCCTTCCTCAAAAAGGTTTTTGTGAAAAAAGACCAGCCTTACTGGCCTGACAGAGACTGGAGAAACCCCGAGAGTAAGGCCCCTGGACACCCTTCTAGCTCAGCAATGAAGTCACTCCTGAGGTTCACCCTTCAGCCAAAGATTAAACAGCCCCATAAAACAAAATGAGACTAAGGGGGCACAACAGCCCAGGGACAAGAACTAGAAGGCAAGAGGGGAGAGGAAAGCTGGTAATAGGGAACCCAAGGTCGAGTACAGAGAGTGTTGATATGTCGTGGGGTTGTTAAGGAATGTCATAAAATATGTGTAGTAACTGTTTAATGAGAAACTTTTTGTTCTGTAAACCTTCATCTAAAGTACAATAAAATTAAAAAAATTCAAACAACAAAAAAAGGTTTTTGTGAATAATATCTAGTAATCCCTAGAAAGACAGAGAATGTGTGTGTCTGTAAGAGACAAAGTGACAGAGAATGTGTGTCTGTGTGTGAGAGAGAAAGACAGAGACAGACAGACACACAGGCAGAGAGCAAGCCAGAGGCCCAGGAGATGGGGCCAGCCTGCAGGAAGGTCAGAGGCTGCAGGGGGCTCACTGAGCCCGGGGAACCAGGACCAAGCCTAAATGTGCCAGCACGGGCTAAGGGTCTACTTAGGGTGAACATGAGGAACAGATCAACAAAGGAGAGAACAACAGGAATAGGCATGGATTTAATTACTACAATGCAAGGTTATAAATGAAAAGTGTCTCGGATATGTGAATAACCACAGATTTTAATGAGGCACCAAGCCATTTATGAAATAGAAATCCTCTAGGACCGATTCTGGTTTAAACCCAGAAGGATGACCTAATGATGAAAATCTCTGCATCATTCCCTCATGTATTTAAAAAAAAAATTAGATCATGAAAAGTACTGAATGGATTTGTACATCTTAGAAAAAGAAAAAAGGAACTTCTCAAATTGTATGAGGCACCATATTGCAATCTTTGGAGCCAGAAATGGCCTCTGGGTAGATATTTATTTTTGACAACTATCAAAGAGAGCAATACAGTGTAAGCACATTTTTTAGTTTGAAATACAAGCACAGCACTTCTGAGTGAGATGCAGTGTGAAGTGAGGCAGAGAACACTAGACAAAGCGTTATTCTTGGTACCAGGGCTGCTTGAAAGATTGTCAAAAACCGTACTTTGGAAAGCTGTGACAGAGTTTGCGTTACAGAATCAGATAATGAAGCTGAGCAAAGCAACTGAACACCTATTACACATGAGGCACGAAAGGCTTGGGATAAAGAGGATATTGGGGGAAGGAGGAAGATAAGTAGCCATGTGATTTCTGGAAAGGAGGCCCAGAAAGTAGGACATTTCCTCTGAGGATCCTCCCATGGTACACTCATGAAGATTCACTCTTATCTTTTAATAAACACTGACTACTCCTCTCTTCCCTAGTGGGAAAAAGGACACTAGGAGAGAACTAACTGTACATAAAAAAGGTATAGAAAAAGGGGAGGTCGGCACAGCAGTGCCGGGAACATGCGGAAAAACACAGAAGACGCTGACACATCTTTCCCTGCAGGAGAGAACAGAGGCAAGAGAGAAGCTACAGTGCTGTGTTCCTTGAGTAACTTCTGTTTCTGCAAAGCATGATGAGAAGTTCACCGAAGTCCTAACGTTTGCTGACCTAATGAAAAGAATGAGACTGTTTTTGGGTTTTGACCAAACTCTGCTGCTGTTTTCTCAAACTCAATAGGACGGTGTTAAATACTGTTTATGTCTAAATCAAGCCAGCGTGTGGGAACTAGGATGTCACCCAGAACGGTTTACAACTTACCAGAAGTTCTCAGAGAATTCTGAGAGAACAGAAGGATAAGTTAGAACAAAAGCCAGTCCTTTCCTTACAGTAAGAAGTAACTCCACGGGATATGGTTCTGTTCAGAGTAAACAGATTCTTCTTTCATGAGCAGAGAATTACTTGGGTGAGGATTAGGACAACTTCTATTTCTAATCCATTTGTTTCTTAGAAGTTTAAACACACACACACACATACACACACACACACACAAGGGAGACATATAAGAAATCAGGTTCACTGGAGGATACCGTTCATGTCAGCAAACCTTTCCCAAGCTAAAGATCACATGGAGCAGCAGAGGCTGGAAGAAACAACTGCTCAAGTTTTAAGGTGGTTTCTTTTTCTTTTCCATCCAGAAGTAGAAATATCACTACCCAATATGCTGCAATTCTATTTCTAGAGACATTTATTCTGAGAACCTGACAAGATGAACGATTAAAAACCCGATGTTTAAAAAAGAAACCCTAGATTTTTACAAATTTGTTCACAAGCCTCTTCAAGTTTCAGTTACCTTAAAGCTCAGTAAATTGGGAAAAAACAAACAAACAAAAAAAACAAAACCCATTTACTAACTGAAATAGCTTGTCTTTCACAGCACTTACGCATATTCCCCCAAAGCAGGATTTTTAGTCCCCCTCACCTGTCATGTTTATTTTCTTGGGCTGCTCTCAGGAGCTCCTGTATATTTTTGGTGATCTGCTCGGTCTTCCGGATGACGTCCTCAGTGCTGGGGAGAGAGGGGCTGGGGGCTGCGTGGGGCTCTGTGGCATTTGGTGCAGAGCTGTCACCCTGCCACACCGTACTCCTCTGCCTTCCCTTTCTGCTTGACCTGTGAACGATATAGAAGTGGCTAAATATGACGGGTTTATGAGCTGCTTCTCTGTTTCTACTGACCACTTAATATGCACCAGCTGAATGCACCAACAGGCTGCTGTTGTGGTCTCCTCTGTCCCGTCAGTGGGAGACTCACAGGTAAGGCTGTTTCATCAGAGGGCGGCTCTGGCTCACATGGAGCCCGTTTCATCCACTCATGGGGCTGGGAATTATTAAAGTGACTCTCACAGAAAAGGGTGGGAGGGTGAGGAGGAAATAATTGGAATGGGGAGGGTATATCTTTATAAAGCCAACCCCAAGAGAGCCAATTCCTTGGGTACAAATGCCGACTGTAACCTAATGTCAATTTAAAACTGAAGTGAAGGGCTGAATTTAAGCAGATTACAGATATTAAGAGACATGTACAGAATGCTGGTAAAAGAAAAAGGCCTCTGTGATAATAATGTGAGATGAGAAGACATGTAAACTAGGGATTTATGCCTGAAAATTCTAAGACCTTATGGGTCTGAAAATAGAGAAAAGGGGTGTAGGTGATAAACAGCTTCTCTTGACCAAGGCCTGCTGCTGCTTTTGTTGTTACTTGCCCTTGAGTTCATTCCGACTCATGGCGACCCCATGTGTTACAGAGTAGAACTGCTCCATAGGGTTTTCCTGGCTGTAATCTTAACAGGAGCAGGTCACCAAGCCTATCTTCTGCGGTACTGCTGGGTTGGTTTAAACTGCCAATCTGTAGGTTAGGAGTTGAGTGCAAACCATTTGCACCACTTAGGCCTGCTGGGTCTCTGATGTTTCAGAGCCCACCCCCCGGGCACGCTCTTCCTGCAGCTGTACCCCATGTCATCGGGCTCCATGTCATTGGGAGTGTTGTCGTAGTCACTTTCAGGGGTACTGTTCTGTTTCTCCAGCCTGGATGCCTAAAATAAAGACAGAAAAGGCAGCCTCCGTTAGTTTAGAACATGAGACACTTCTCGAGAGCTCTCCCCAGGAATCCATTACCTGTTAACACTATGCGGCCTTCACCCTCCAGATCTCATCTGGGACTGGAGACCACCTTTTACTGAAAATTTAGTAACAGGTGAACAATGGATCCAGATATGGTTTCTTTCCTTCTTCGCACCACTTTCTTCTTAGCCCAGGGGCTATTCCATAAAAAGATCCTTGTTACAAATGAACACAGACAGACAAGGCAACATACCCACATTTAGCTCTCAATGGAGTATGGAGTTTAACTATAATGTTGGTGTTGTTAGCTGCCGTTGAGTTGATTCTGACACATGGCGACCCCATGTGTGTAGAGGAGAACTGCTCCATAGGGTTTTCAAGGCTGTGACCTTTCAGAAACAGATGGCCAGACCTTACTTCTGAGGTGCCTCTGGGTGGGCTTGAACCACCAACCTTTCAGTTAGTAGTCCAGCGCTTAACCATTTGTGCCACCCAGGGCTCCATTTAAAAACATGCCAGAATGTAAGCAACTATAGGTCTTCCATGCTGGAAGATTACCTAGTCTAATGCCAGCTGGGACAATGGAGGGCCAAAAAAGGCTGGGTGGCCCACCCAAGGCCACAGATTTAGAAGAAAAACAGGACCAGGAACCCAGGTCTCCAGCCTCCTGCTAGTTGCCATATTCCACGCCTGGGGCTCCGAAGATCACCACCGCTCCAGGCACTCATGGCTCTCTAGGAATTGCCCTCAGAGATGGCTTTTATGAGCCACACAGAAAAAACAGGCTTATTAATTCACAGCCACTATTGTTTTTAAACCAGTAGGACACTTGGCTTCAAATCACTTTTATCTGTTTCAAAAAAAAAAAGAGATCTACTCTTTAAAAGATAAACATTTGGTGCAACTGTGGAGATTCAAAAATGTGATGGAGATTCAATAGGCAATTTCAAAAGAGGAATCCTAAAAATGTCTTCAGCAAATGGCAGCACTGCCAAATAGAGGGCCTTCCAAGGTGAAAAAATTTGAAGGGGACCATGTTCCTTTGAAGGAAACTAGGTTAGTTCTGGAGTGTTTAGTAAAAATTATTTTCCCTCAGTAGTATTTATTTTATCCACAAGGTTTGAGAATTGCTTCGCCCAGAACAGAGATCAGTGTAGGCTGATTCAAAGCCTAGACTGATTATCTTGCAAAATATAAATATGACCTTTTTCCAGTTCTATAACTTGAATTTAATCCAAGTTAACCAAAACATGTACGTGACTAAGGGATTTTAAAGCTGCTGCAACAAAACGTGGTTAAGGAAATCGTTGTAAACTAAGAGCCTCGTTTAAATATATGGACACCTGGTAGCGTCATCCAAAAGCATGGCTGATTATGGGTAAGTCAGTTTGAGAAGTCTACATACAGTCTGATAATTGGCTCATTACCGATAATGCGGTCTGGCACCTTGACAGGCCCTAAGGGGACAGGCACAGCAGCCACCCGCAAGGTGGAGAAGACCCCTTGTGCAGGTCACATCAGCTTACTATCTCTGTGGCCTCTTTTCCTCTCCCAGGGCAAATGCTCTCTCACATTCCCCCAAAGTCCCCTATGCAGTCCCGGGCACTCTAATAGAAGACACCTGCTTTGTGGCTCCTAAAATTCAAGATGAACTTGAACTTAAACCCACTCAAATTCAGCTGGCCAATTATTAAGGATGTTGGCTTTGAGCCACATGGGGAGTCTGTAGAATTAAGTTCTGCAAAATCTACTACGATGTTTAAGATCTCTTTGCCTACATCTCCTGCCAGCAAGAGGTTATGCTTCACTTGCTGCCGTGTTTTGATCTGCCTTTACGTAGGGAATCAGTGAGTGAGTGTTACTGGAAGTCCAGATGGAAGGCCAAGGGCAGCACTGTGTCCACTGCAGACAACAGTGAAACCAGGGTCTTCTGGAGGTGACCTCTAGAAAGAGTGATACCCTTTCTCACCTTTCACGGGGGTGTTCAACTAATCTTTATATTTCTTTGCCTTTAATACACACACACACACACACACACGTATGGATGAGCAAGTGTATGTGTATACAAACACACACACAAATGGAATGTAAAAAATTTACATTTAAATAATTATACCAGATAATTCTCCCAGAGTTGCTCCAGTGAGAATTAAACCCAGAAAATACCACATTTTTATAATGGGTCTTTTTGCTTTACTTGATGTAAGTTTGATAATCACAAATCAAGTGCATTACCCTGCAATGATCAAAAATACCAAGTTTCATATAAGCATTTTAGAAAAGTAACAACTCGTATACCTCATAAAAGCATGAAGGAACCATTTTTCAAGAATAGAAAACACAGGATAGCAGCAGCCACCCAGGAAATCTGTTACCTACACATGAAGTCCTTCGCCGTTGTCAACAAAAGCATGTTAGCCAGCTTTTTTATGAAAATTATTGTAAACATGCAGAGCCAAGATCTATTGGTTAAAAAGTGCTGTTCTTTTAAAGCTGTTAATAGAAAAGTTACCATATAGCTGGTGCTGGTTCAGTTTATTTAATAGATTTTCAGTTTTCTCTGATTACACACACACCATAACAATCTAAACCCAGGATGAAGCTGTCAGAAACAATCAGGATTATCAGTTTAAATAACACTTTGTCTCAGCAAGCAGTCCTTGCAATGATTTTCAAAACTACCAAAAATTAAAAAAAGAAGAAAAAAATTTCACCGTGGTCAAAAGAGATTTCTTGACTCTTATTAACAAAGTTTCAAATTAGTATTTCATCACTATTTCTCTACCCCTTCGTTTAACTGGAATATAATGAAAACATTACAGATCAATTTCAGAACGGCTCAAAAGATTTTAAGTACCATATATCAAGTTTTCCTTTTAATATACTACTTCTAAGAGAATAAAAGGACCACAAAAAGACCCTGAAGAGCTACATGGCACTGACATTGGAAAAGAACGTTTCTCCATCATTCCACTGATGTGGAGGGAGTGGACCAAAGCCCCATGCAAATCCAAAATTGTCTGTAAAGGTGGCCCCTTACCCACAGCGAACTTCCCCTCTCTCACCTTAATTATACTCCCCTTCCATAAAAGGTTGAGCCAGGACCTGAACTGAGGTCTTCAAAGCCTGGGATCTTTCCATGACTTTCCCAGGTTACAGTCACGGACTCTTTGTGCTATTTGTTTACTGACGGTGCCTTTGGGAGCAGGGACTGTGTCACGTAAGTCAATTAATTGACTTGATAAAGGCTGGGCATAGAAAAAAAAACAAAAAACAAAAACCAAACCCGTTGCCACTGAGTCAATTCTGACTCATGGTGACCCCATGCGTTACAGAGTAGAACTGTAGGATTTTCTGGACTATAATCTTTCTGGAGGCAGTTCACCAGGCCTTTCTTCTGTGGAGCTGCTGGGTAGGTTAAAATTGCCAACCTTTATCGTGCTACCCAGTGACCTCACTGGGCATAGAGGAGGTGCTTAATAAATACTTGTTGCTTGGCTACTCTAAAAGGAGCATACTTGAACCATGTACTGTTATTGAGAATGTAAATGATACATCAGCAGGCTGCATATGACCAACTAATACACATGAACAGCTTCATACCAACAGCTGCTCATGCCTCCAATGCCACTGTAGGTCACAATGCTGATGTGGGACACAGGGACTGGAAAAGCCTGGTTTGTCAAGTATGGTGCTGACATAAAATATGTCAGAATTAAAAAAAAAAAAAAAAAAAAGCATGACATTTTAGTGCTTCAGCTAGTCCAAAGACACTAGTTTTGATCTATAACGATAGCTCTGAACAAATCTGAGGGATTTCCCTATTACAGTGTTTAACCAGCACCCAGCTAATTTTTTGATTGTTTGAAAAGACAGTATGTTCAGAATCAATGCCATGGGGTGATTTGCGAACCTTGTTAAATATTATGTGTAACTAGCAATGTGGAGTTAGACGGGAGAGGCATCTCTCTATAGGTCTGCGTGAGTGTGTGTGCCCGCTGTGCTGTAAGAAACCAGGAGGGAAGCGAGGCATCATGCGGGACAGAAGGGCAGTTAGCGGAAGGACGGAAGGACAGAAGCACAAAGCACCCATGAGCACTGCCGCCTCCTCCAGGGAGCAACCAATTCAGAATGTACTTAACCCTTCGGGTGCTTTCGTCCCTCGACCAGGAGAGTGTGGAGGGGAAGGAAGGCAGAGACGAAGAGGAGGTCACAAGCGCGCTCCTCCCAATCTAGAAGGGGAAAGAGAAACACACTCGGGAAAACAAAAAACAAACAAAAATCTGGTACCATAACCTGGCTTCTGCCCAAGTTCCCCAACGAAAGAATCATAAAAAATCCCTCACTATGTGACAGCCCAGTGACAGATTCCAAAGACATTTACTCCCTTAATAAAATGCCCCCCATAAACAACTCTGAACTTAATAAAGCTATTTTTCTATATGGGAAAAGGTAATACCTAGCAAAATTGGTCAATAATTTCTAAATGTATGTTGTTGTTGGGTGCCATCGAATCGATTTTCCACTGATGCCCACTCCCCTACTGCCACTGAGTCAATTCTGACTCACAGTGACCCTACAGGACAGAGTAGAACTGCCTCATAGGGTTTCCAAGGCTGTAATCTTTATGGAAGCAGACTGCCACATCTTTCTTCCAAAGAGTGGCTGGTGGGTTCAAACTGCTGACCTTTTGGTTAGCAGCTGAGCACTTAACTACTGTGCCACTAGGGCTCCTTTTTCCACTCACAGCGACCCTATATGACCGAGTAGAATTGCTCCATAGGGTTTCCTAGGCTATAATCTTTATAGAAGTAGATCACTAGGTCTTTTTCCCGCAGAGCCGCTGGGTGGGTTCGAACTGCCAACTTTCAGTTAGCAGTTGAGTGCTTAACTGTTGCACCACCAGGGCTCCATTTTAAATGTACAGCCTAAGGTAAAAATTTGTTTTTCAATCAGGATTGATAATATAAAATGAGAAACTACAGGAATGATTAAAAATTGGTATATGTTACCAATAGATTCTTCAGTATATATAACTTCCGCAATAATATGACGTCCTTACACTCTAAATTTTTTAAAATTAGAAAGTACACTCTGAAACTAACAAAGGTTGCTTTTCCGGAAGTTTGTTTTCAGTTACACAAAAATAAGATTTTTAACATAGTTCAATGGCATTCCCATTACATCAAATGAATTAATTGCCTTAGAACATTAAACCAAACAACTTAAAAAGAAGTCAAAATATGGACTCCCAATTACAATATAACAACATGGTAATTTTACCACTCTAAAGTTTGACAACATTAAACTAGGGCAAACTAGGGTTTAATTCACTAGTGCATACTCTTTAATTTGCATTTACCCTGAGAATTATTTTCAAAACTCCTAAAAAATTTGACAGAGGAAATAACTTTTAGGCATTAAAATCGATAATTACTCTTTGGGAAAAAAAATCACATGAGAGTTTAAAATGTCTGCAACATTGTTTCAAATTTTTTTTATAATAAACCAATCCAAAAGAAATATTTGAAAACCTCACAACATAATATTTATGCCACCATAAAATAAAATTGTTAGTACCCTGGTACAGAATACAAACTTTGGAATATAACACTTGTAAAAATCAATGCAGAGTTTTTACATTTCATTTTTATGAAAGGATCCAGCAACACTTTCTCATGAAGAGGAGGAGGAGGAAACAGAAGCTAACCAAGTGGGCATGCAGACCACGTGGGCAGAGGCTGCTGTGGCCTGGGCCACCTCCAGCCTTGCCCTCAGTACCCCGGCCACACCCACTGACCGCTCTGCTCCACTGGAGGAGCTAAGAGGCCACCGTGGAGCCTGAGGGCTCCAGTCCAGAAATGGGCACATCCCTGTCTATCTCGAGGAAGATGGCACTTCCTTCCGCTATTGGGTTTTACGGTTTTTGTTTCTGGAAGTGGGGAAGGAAGCTTTACGAAAAATATGTACCACTATTCGTTGGCTGGGAAATATATTATGGGTATGGGAGAGAAAAAGGTGGAGGTTGAGCAAGAGCCAGAATGCCCAATTTTGTTGGAAAACTTCCCGTCAAGGGCCCTGTGTGTTTGTGGGAACACCGCAAGCACTGGTTGACATGTTAATACAGCAAACACAACGACAATTCTCGTAGCCCAGTTTGGCCAAGCGGAGGCGTGGGGATCTGCAGGTTCAGAAGGGGGGATGCAGCAGTCAGGCTGGGCAGAGAGTGAACAGCGGAAGCGCCAGTGGTGTTACTTACGTGCGCGGGGAAGGGCTGGAGCCGCGTCCTGCTTTCCTCGGGGTGGTTCACCTCTCCCATGGGGAGATATGGTTTCTGCCCTGATCCCGTCTCGTACATGGACATGGGCCTACTGCCCCGGGCGGATGGACGTCGCTTTAAGGAAGAGTGGTTGGAAGTGTCTGTGTACTCAGAACCAGTTTGCACCTGATATATAGTGGTTGTGGCCTGTTTCCTGAGGTTCGAATTTTCACTCTGGAGTGTTTGAAGCTGAAAGAAATGTTTGGCAGTGGGACTGTGTTTTTCTACAGCAAGCAGAAAGAGCAAACACCAAAGTAAACGAATACGACTATCGGCTTTAACAATAAGAACAGTTACAGCTAGCTGGGTTGAAAGTAAAAGGCAGCTACAAACAAGAATTCTTTCTTCTAGAATGAGTGAAACACAGCGAACTCGCTTCATCACTTAAGCAAACTAAACAGTTTAATTACTGAATGTGGAAAAGTTGCAGGTTTGAACTTCGTAAAAACTAGAGACAAATGTCTAACCTCTTAAAAAATCTGGCATGGTGGGGCTGGGAAATGTTTGTAAGCAAGCTGCACTCTAAATTTTCTAAGGCTGTTTTCAAGTAAGAGCTTGAGATCATTCAAACATCACTTAGGTAACTTGCTTTTCAAGTGAGTCCTAAGCAATTTGCAAATGCCAAAAATTACAGCAGACACCATGGAAGCAGCACAGAGATAACTAGAGTTGCTTTGCAAAGCAAGAAAGACAGCAAAGTTCAACGGATGAAATATTTGATTAGCTAGTGCTTTCCAAAAAGCCAACAAGAAAAATTATGATCAACAAGTTTTTATTACATAATACTCTTGATATTCCAAACAATTTAGCACTTTTTGGGGGGTTTGTTTGTTTAAATTGAGGGAATCAAATCATGGTAAGTTTGCTATATTAACATATCACGAACAAAACTGTGAGCCTATGGAACTATGTTTATATCTTCGTCTGAATGCTCCACGTAGCATGCTTGCTTCCCTCTGGTGATCGATCATCTTTCAGCCAGGGCTGGAATTTTTGGCCTTTCTCTCCTTGGGCTTTGTCACACAAAAACGCGACCATGGTAGTGTCGGCTTCAAGCATTCTAATCTGCCTGGCACCACCCCATCTTAGTTAGAGGCTGTCACTTGGAGGCCCTGAGTGCTCTTTCCATTCCTCACATGCAGGCTGCTTCATGGTGTTTGATGGATTAGAGTTAAGGGGTCAGCAACGATTCATGTTACTCTTTACGTCTGTCATGTTAAACACAATTAACTGAGTCCATTCTGCACCGTGTCCTTTCCCCTCTGGTGCGCCTTCATCTTCCATGACAATTTATAAGCTGGGTGTGGTGTGAGTTCAGCTGTCTACTCTTTGACAGTGATTGTAAAATCTGACCAAGTTCCCCACCAGTGCCAAGGTTTAGGTCCGCAAGCAACTGTATTTGTGCCAGATGATCATAACTTTCTCAATAGCAAACCCATTCAGTGTTAGGAGTTACTTTTAGCTTTTATTTAGAAAGCACCAATCTGTGACAAATACACCAATAGGAGCTGCTCCTCTTCATTAATTAGCATCCTTTCCAAGCAACTGTTAAATGTGAAAGATCAGATACAAATCATGCTACTTTGTTAACTATATATAAAAAACAAACAAAAACTTTACCTAACTTTGAAATAAAATCGATACATCTTTGCAAAATAAACGCTACATTACGGGAACCCTGCAGAACCTCTGTGAAAGGGTGACTTCCTGCTTCTTCCACAGAAACAGCAGCTCAGTCTGTTTTCTGATGTAAAAAGCAATGCACTAAGGGGTGAGAGGTGGCTTCTCCACCAAAAAGGCCTTTGGGGTATAGCTTATGAACTGCGCCTCCCTTTCCAAAGAAAGAACAGCTGGCAAAGTGACAAGCAGCCACTGAAAATCTCTACATTCCAGGATCCAGACAGGCATAAGGTACTTTCAAAACTATTTATCAAGGGAGCCGTGTCCTAAAATGAAATGGCCGAAGTCCAAAGAGTGAGGAACATCGCTTACAGGCTCCCTGCACCAAGTGACTGGAGCATTTGGACACGTGCTTGTCTGTCTACGTAAAAACCCGTTACAAGCTTTTACCAAGGCCTGGCAGTCAGAAACTATCTGCCCTTTTCAGGCCTCCAAAACATCCAGCCTGGATTTTGTTTCAATGTATTTTGATGAGTACAAGTTCCTGGTCTCAATTTTGAAAAATTTGAGTCCTCTGTATTTAGAGAGATGTCTCCGGATCAATTTTAATGATGCTTATCTTAATAATCACCAGGACACACTTTCTTGTTTGGAAAGAGTATAACAGGAAATAAAAAGTTACAAATAATTCAATAGGCTCAGAAATCAAAAGCATTTCTAAAAATGGAAGAGATGATCAACTAGCAATTGCAAACTTCTTCCTTCTGCGTTTCTTAAAGAAGGCTAAGATGTTTGCTTTCAGAGACACAAGGTTATTTCTGGTGATTTCTACAAATACTAAAAAGAGCATTACAGAATAAAAAAAGGTGACGCTTAGCAGACTGATTTACATGGCAAAGTCAGCATGTTTCAGAAACAGTCTTGTCAATGAAATTATTAGTCCAATTAGTGGAACAAACTATTAAATAAAAGGTATTTCAGAAAAGACAGAGGAAATGCAAATCCTGTCTGTTAGGGCAAAGTACACCTTGTATTTCGATGACAGATGAACTGCCGCAAGCATGCCGGCCCTGTGAGGCAAGGGCTGTGTCGGCCTCGTTGCCGCCACGCACCAGCCCTGGACGAGGCTGGGTGCACAGAGCAAACGCTCTCTGGACAGCTGTCAAGCACCTGCAATGCCAATTCTAGTTAACTGCCTGACTGCAAGTGTTGGTTTCTTTAGGGTCTAATTGATTCTCTTTCCCTTCTATTGTAGGTATACTAGCCATTTATCTCAAAAGGTCTCTAAAAAATAACCTAGGACTCAACACTCAAATGATCCCAGACCACACTCCAGGTGAAGGTGTGCTGCCGTTTACTTTCCTTAACAAGTAGGAGGGCCAGGGCCCGCTTTCAGCTCTTTGGCCTTCCTTTAGGAAGCGTCTCTGAAAAGGGGCCCGCCACAAATGAAACAGACCATGGCCACAGTTCGTGAAAAGGATCTGAAATGCCTCACTTCAAATTAGGGAAGTGTACAATCTGTTTAAGGGAAGTGTACAAAACCTCATTTCTGAAGAGAATTAAATAACGGGGGTAATACCTATGAAGTCCTAGGTATAATTTAGAATTTTTCAACTTCCTTTTCTTAGCATTCTCATTAAGAATTACACTGATAATCTCCCTCTTGAGTATATTTCTTGCTATCATTAGCCACATTCCTTTTAGGGGTTAATACATTCATGTATTTCTGACTTTCTCAAAAGGTATTGGATGGCAAAATGCTCAACAAATGGGATTGTTTTTTACTAGCATACAGTTCTCGCTAACGTAAGTGAAATATTTTTGTGTATTTATTGAGAACCTACTGTGTGGCAGGCCCTGCTCTATGCTCTGAGGACACCACCAATAAGTGGTTAAGTATTGGTGAAAAATAAAGCAGGGATGTGGGATAGGGCTGCCAGGGGGCGTGGCTAACAATTCAGAACAAGAATGAACAGCAAAAGCAGCCCTTGCATGCCATGGGGTGGGGTCTGGACCACTGATAAACACATATATGTCTAGGGCATTTGTCTGCTCTGTCTTCATGGCGTGATTATTCTTTAGAACCAGCAACAGGAAGATCACGTCCATGCAGTGACACCGAGGAAGCACAGAAGAGTGCAAGGGTTACTGTAACTGATACCAATACTTACTAGGTCATTACCTTTCTCCTACTTGGGAAACTTACTCTGGATATATTTCAAATCAAAGAAATCTTAATTGAAATATCCAAACACATCCTGCTTCCAAGAAGACAGCTCGGCCCAAGGATTTTTAGGTCTGTTACAACAAGTAACTTCCTTCTGGTTACAAGCATCATGCCTGTGGTTCTTCCTTATACTACGGGATGAAAGAGTCAATCACCCTGGCAATTTATAGACATGTTACCTTTTTCTGCATAATTCTCAGCTCGTCACTCAAGTTGTTATTCACCTTCATTAGCTGTTGTATCTTGGCCTCAGAAGCCACTAGAGCGTTTTTGACCTCCATAAATTCTTGTACAGTGACTGGTCCATCTGATAAATCTGAATCTAGACTCTAAAAATAAATTGGGGAAAATGTTCACAATCTGAGTCGATGATAACATTAAAGACTAACAGCTAGAGCATTTTGAATTCTGACAAGGCCAGCTGAATTGCAAAATCCATCAAACCAAATAAAGGCTTCTGAGACTAGCACAAAGCTAACGTAAATGGGTCGCCATAACACTTTAAAAAATTTAAGCCAGTATTTTCTAACAGAATAGGCAGCGTGGCTACAAATCTTCTCTGATAATGATTCTCTGAATGAGTTTGTCTTGTCTTGTTTGCCTTTCTCTTGCTCATTCATTTTTCTCTTTTGTTCATTCTTTCACTAATTCCTTCATTTTGACAGATTTTTACTGAGAATCAGGAGTGCAGCAGGCAGTGTTCTAGGTGCTCACGATAGATTAGAAAACAAAATAGACAAAGATTCCTGCTTCCATGGAGTTTACATTTCAGTAGAGTAAGACACATATAAAAGAAAAATAAGTAACTATATAGTATGATAGAAGGTAATCAGTGTTACAGAAAAAAGAGAAGACAGAGCAGGGTAAAATAGAGCTGAGGAGCTGAAGTTGGGACACAGGAGGATTGCATTTTAATTAGCGAGTGGGGTAAGCCTTTGAACAGCTGAGATGTGAGCGACAGCTTGAAGGAGGTGAGGACATTAGTCCCGAAGCGGGAGCAGCAGAGGGAGAGGAGCCGGAGTGAGTCAGAGTTGCCGGAGGGCCCATCACGTGGGTCCGTGTACGGACTCCGGCTTTCACTCTGGGTGCTGCAGGCTGCTTCGGGGGAGTCTGAGCAAGGGAGTTCTGGGTAGGATGTGTGGCTCTTGCCTTTCCTTCAGGGTTCCCTGTAGTGGCCCCATCATGCTCAGAGTCACGTGAGCTAGACACTCTGGATACATCATCCATAAGTCTATTTCCCCACTTGAAACATCCAACTTACTGCCAAGATCTTTCTACTCTCTCTTTCTATTCACTCATTCTCAAAAGTCTGCTGAGCCCTTCCTAGGGGTCAGGTCCTGGTGATGTCCTGGGGATTCAGCAGTGTGGGGGAGAGTGTGGGAACCTGCGGCGCTGTCCTGCGGGCTCACTGGTGAGCAGTCTCTCCCAGCCAGGCCCTCCTCATTTGGGCCCTGAGGTGGCTTGTGTCTGCTCTTGTTTGGACCTCTTTAAGAGGATCTTCACTGGGCTCCCTGCCTCCACTCTCTGACCCGCCTGCAGTACTCCCGAAGCATAGCCCTGACCATTGCCTTCCTGCCCGGCCTGAAGCCACCTGAGCTCCACATGCCCGCAGAAGTCCAGGCTCCCCTGTCTGCCACCTTGTTCCTTCATGGTGTGGCCCCAGCCCTCGGCTGCAGCTTTGAGTCTCACTCTTTTTAGGCTGTTCCTCTATAAGACCAGGTTTCCCCATTCTCTCTGCCTAGACCACCCTTCCTTGCCTCCTCCAAGGCACATCTAAAGAGCCTTTTGTGCTCGGCACAGATAGCAACCAGGAACTCTTTCAGCCTCTAGGGTTTATTGGGAAGCTGCTGTACCACTGATAGTGTGTGCTGGCTGCAAGGCAGGGGCCTTTATGACTATTTGAAACTGAAGAAACAGGCATGTGCCACAAATAACTGTTTTCACAAGGTATTGTATGAGGTGTCTGAATTTTTGGTAGGAAAATTAGAAATTCTGAAAATTTTTATTTGTTACACATGTGTACCAACAGACCCTAGTGGAGACTCTGGGGTATAAGTGGCACTTCATATGTACCACTAAACACTTAGGGTAGGCTTGTGGGAGGAGGCAAGAAAAAAAATCCATACTACCTACCAAAAATTCCAACACACTCAATGATTCAGCATGCTTCCATTAATGAAAACAGATGGTATCAACAAAAAAATTCAAAGCAGAAAATAAATGGATCACCAAAGGGTTAACAAGCCTTCCCCGGCACCCTTCAGCAGTAAGTCAGCTCTCTCCTCCCTGCCTCGGCTTCTATTTGTGCTTCTCATGATAACTGCAGTTAGCTCACCTATTAGGTAGTGACATCCTCACAGGAAAGGGATTAGGCCTCAATCAGTAGAGTTAAAGTATTACCAGAGAAGTCACCCCATAAATATTTGTTGAGTGAATACAACACACCAGTCACTACTCACAAGTTTTATAGAATGACAACTGCAGACCTGCTGTGATTCAGCAATTCACTTTGGGATGAAGGAGCTCTATTTTAAAACTATTTGCCTCCTTCCACTTTTGGTTGGCCCAAGCTAGTAGTGAACCCAACTTTAACTCCATAGGACCTTTCACAGGGCTAGCCCTCAAGTGATTTGCAAATAAGGCAACTTTGTAGGAGAAATATTTTAAAAAGGGACATTGCCATTTCTGTGTGAAGTGTGTGATCCTACCTTCTGTCTGTTTGCCTTGCTTGCAGTGGTTTCCAAATCCGTGTCTTCGTCTGATGCCACACTGTCATAGTCTGGCTGGTCATTGTCTTGGCTCTCAACGCTGTGCTGGTTATTGATTGTTTTCAGTATGAGCTCCACATTGTCTATTGACACAAATAAACAACTTTACTTCAGGCTTGGGAAAAAAAATTCCAACACTGTTGGGAGGAATCTGGGTTTAGTCATTTAAAGAACTGAAAGAAAATGACAGAATCAGCAGTGTCAAAATTACATGTAGATTCAGGGAAGATGACAGCGTAAACAGACCATTGTTCCAATCCTAGCCCACAAATGCAACAAGAAATACAACAAGGAAACAGTGCTCAGTTTTGAGAGATTCTGAATCAGGGAGCAGAGGAAAGCAGGGAGAAACTGCAAAAAGGAAAGAATCAACGAATCGAGTCTCATATAGCAGGAAAATCACTTCTCTCACTGTCCCTGCCCCTTGCCACATGGATGGATGGCTGCTGTGAAGAAAAGAAGCCTGCTTTTCTAACCACCACAGTTCCTGCCTGTACAGAGACAGGTCCTCAAGCTTCTGCTCTAAAATAAACAAGCAGACCTCCCCAGGGGTCTGTTTGGAGTGTGCCAACACATCACCTACCTAGACAC